AGCCATCAATGTATGCCTGCTATAACCTAACCACAGGTCTTGCATATCTTGCCTGACCTAGCTCTTGCTTCCAGACCAGATTTGGTAAGGGTAGAGTTCTTAAGGCTATGGTGCGTATTTTGAGCTTTCATCTTCCCTTACCCAAGACAAAATTCTGTACTTTAAGCTGTCTTTGCTTTGCTTTATCCTAGTGTAGTGTTCCAAAGTGGACAATCTCCCAGAAATAAATACTGAATATCCTCAGCAGGATTCCCTGTTTCATACTGTTTAGTGAAATTCTTGTTTGGAGTCCTGGGAACACTCTCAAATTGCTCCCTTTTCTTTTATTCTTAGCCCGCCTTTCAATAACTACCTTTTCAAATCTTCATCAGGGGAAATCAATGTAACTTTCTGACATCTGGAGGTTATGGTCACCAACCCTCTCATCGCCCACCTGCATTTCTAGATCACTGTATAGAACATTACCCAAAACCCTACCTTTTCAAATTAATGCCATTAATTTTTACATCTTTAGTGAAATCCTCATTTACACACTCCCCTACAAAAATTCCCCAATGTCTCATGCTACTTATTTTTTGATTTTGTCACGATAGTTGTGAGGGCATCACTTGGTGGTTTTCAAAGTCCATGCTGTGTTGAAGATCAACCCCAGGACCTTGACCAAGGAAGGTACGTGCTGTACAACTTGAGTCACACCTCCAGTCCAACACACTACCTCATTTTAAAAGCCAGGAAGCACATTAAAAAATGGACAGGATATATTTATACAATAAACTCTACAATTTCAATCCAACCATAAATTACTATTTATATGTTCATGAGGATGGTTGGAGTAGGAGATTAATATTGGCACAAAGGAAGTAGAGAACAAAGAGATAAAAACTTGAAAATATAACTGAAAAGTGACTACACAATAACATCTTAAAGGTAATGAGGGGCAAGATTTTCAAGCAAATCCAAGTCTTAAGCAGCAGAAGCATGTCTGGGGCTGACAAATGTAGTCCAACAGGAGATACATAATAATTTCAACAGTAAACCCCAAAGTACTCAATATAAACTACCGATTTTTGATGAATTAACCAGGTTTTCCATAAGGGAAAAATAATATATATATATATATATATATCATGCTCTCAAGATGAAGAACCTTCTCATCCGCCAAAAATCTCTTTATAAAAACAAAACAAAAAAAAAACACAAACAAACAAAAAAACTCTTTTCCAAGCAAGTTTTTAATTTTTTTTTTTTTAAGCAAGACAGTTGTTTTGGGACCACATCCAGCAGTGCTCAGGGATTACTCCTGGCTCTGGGCTCAGGGAATCACTCCTGGAAGTACTCAGGAGATACCTCCAGAGAGGTCTCCACAAGATATTTTTTAATGAAAGAAAACTTATTTAGAAAAATGCTAGAAGGATGAGTTTGGAGAGATCACACAGTGGGTATAGCATTTGTCTTGCATGTGGCCAACATGGTTTTGATCCTGGGATCCCATATGGTCCCTCAAGCACCACCAGGAGTGATTCCTGAGCACAATGTAAGCTCTAAGTATGACAAGGTGTGGCCCCAAAACAAAGAAAGATTAAATAGTATGCAAAGTAAGAAAATATATGCTCAAGAGAGAACACAGAAAAAAAGCAAGCAAAGATACATTGAGACAAGAAAGCAAACTATGTATTTATGAGAGAAAAAGGGCTGAAAAGAAAATCAAATTGAGATTTTCTTTTTTGTTTGTTTGTTTTTGGACACACCCAGAGTGATAACTTATGTTTGGGGATCAAACCTGGGTCAGTTGCATTACCTGCTATACTATCTCAGCAGAACATTAGTATTTCTGACAGTTTGTAGTAACTGTTAATAGTTTACTCATTTCTGCTCCTTGATTAATTCTATAGCAGCAAGAAAGGAAGTAAGCAGGGATTAGATTCTCTCCCCAAGCATTCTCCATCCACTTCAAATGCATCTTTAATACGCAGTATTACACAATTGCAAAGTTAGAAACTCAGTAGCTCAGTCCTGAGACTTTTCAAGGTATCAGAGAGTTAAAAACTATTTCGTTCTTAAAAAGTAAAAAGGAACAAAGAGAAGGAACAGAGTAATTTCTTTACAGGACAAATATGTAAACGCGAAACTAACTACAAGACATAAAATATTAACAAAAATTTTACAAGGAGGTAAGGTGTAATAAATTAAGGTGCTTTCTTTACTAATCAACCTTTTAAGGCAAAAATCACACATCTGAGTTCAATTCCCAAAAACATCTCAAAGATGTCTACTTTATAGCATAGCAAATGCAAATATGTGGTGAGAAAGTAAGCATATTACTAAAAACTTTGTCCATTTAGTCATAATGACAGATTTTCACCCTATAAAACATAGAAAGAATTGTATTATTAGACTAATGAGATTGGGATTATTTAACAGGAAACAAAAGAAGATAGTAATGTTAAAAATAAATTCAGTGGCACTTCATTTTCAAGACAAAGCATTTAACCCTATATGGAAAATTACTGGCATTCTGCCTAACTCACCAACTCATTGAGTATCTGAACAAACAGGATATTAGAAGGGGAGTCAAAGTCAAAAGTTCCCACATGCCAAGAGAGCCTTCTGGTCACAAAAGAGCAAAGAAAGTAGAGACAACCAAAAACTGCTCCTAAAAAACCAACCCAAGCGGTGCATTGCATTCAAATTATTCAATGAACTTTAGGCAATGGATGATTTGGAAGACTCTGTACTCCACAGTACTCAGCTAATGAGGAAGTAGGAGAGGGCCTTGCACACTCCAGAGTATATAATGCTTATTTGGACCACTTTGGGCATGCCTGCCTACCAGGCTGCATGACGTGGTCTTGTAAAACCATCAATAAACATCATTGACACTGTGCTTCATGCCGCTATGTATGCTCTAAATTCGTGGATTGGTGAGTGTGTTTCTAAGAGAGTAATTCACATTTTACATAAGAAAGTATTTTAAATATTTTTTCATGAATACTAATAACACCAGGAAAACTGTACTTTTTCCAAAACTAGAAACAATTCTCACAGAAGAGCTACAAACTTACACTAGAAACTTACAAACTTGACTATTACTTACAGTCACCATAAAGTATATTTTTATCTTCCAGTAGGTATGATGTTTGCATAGTGTTTATGTCAAAAAAAATTGCATATATGGAATATACTTCTACTGAAGGTTATAATTTTGAGAGTCGTGAAATAAACCTATCAGAGGCTACTCTTAGGGGTAGTTATTAGTAAGCATTGTATAATATGGAATATACTTCTACTGAAGGTTATAATTTTGAGAGTCGTGAAATAAACCTATCAGAGGCTACTCTTAGGGGTAGTTATTAGTAAGCATTGTATTTTGAAACTAATTCCCAATGATAGACAAGCAAAATTTAATGCTTATCTATTACCAGAAATCATTTTTTAAAAAATAACTTAAAGAATAAATATACACTTTGTAAAAACAAGAATAAATATCTAGCAATTGTACCAGTCACATTTAAATTCTTCACAACTAGGCAAATTATAAAATATGCCCTCAAAATATGTATGAAAAAAGTCTCATTAGATCTGCACTTAGAAACTGTATGGCAGGACCACCCTCAAATGGAAAAGGTTCACTTGCTAACAGACAATAAAAACCACTGCCTTCCTTGTCCTTGGACAAGGTTGAAACCAGAGTCACCAACAAGAAGCCACAAATAAAAGACTGAAATAAACCTGTCTGGAGTTTGGGAACAAACACCTTGCATACACAAAGCCTGAGCTCAATCCCTGACAGCATTGGCCTCCCCCAGACCCCAGCATCGCTGAGTGTCAGCAGAGAGGGCTGCATCACCAAGCCCTAGCACAGAATAGGTGAAGTTCTACCAACTTAACACCAGAATGACTGGATTGAACAGGGAACTGCAGACTTACCCCACTGAGCTGAGCAGTGCTGCATGACCAAATCCTAGCACTGAATCATCATTTCCAGGTAACCGAGTATTCTTTGAGTGACCCTAAGATTCTCTGAACACTGCCTGGGAGCCCCCCTCAAAAACAACTACACAAAATAAAATAGCCCATTTTCTATACCTCATCTATGGTTTTAGTGATGTGAACATGCAGTGTGTGAAATACCATCTGGGGCAATTGTTATATCTACTTATTTACTTTGGGTTGGGGGGTCACATCTGGCAGTGCTCAGGGACTACTCCAGCTGAGAGTTTAGGGATCACTCTCAATGGTACTCAGGGGCCCTGGTGTGCCAGGGATTGAACTCAGGCTTTCCACCTGCAAAGCACATAATCCAACCTTTTGAATCATCACCCAGCCCAGCAAATATTTCTAAATCAGAAAGTTTTTTTTTGTATTACTTAGAAATTGGGCTGGAGGACAGCACAGCAGTAGGGCGTATGCCTTGCACGCAGCCTACATGGCCAACCCGAGTTCGATTCCTCCACCCTTCTTGGAGAGCCCGGCAAGCTACCGAGAGTATCTCGCCCGCACGGCAGAACGTGGCAAGCTCCCCGTGACGTATTCGATATGCCAAACACAGTAACAACAAAGTCTCCAATGGAGACGTTACTGGGCCCGCTCGAGCAAATCGATGATCAACGGGAGGGCCTTTACCTTTACTTTTTTTACTTAGAAATTGTAGATAACAATAAATTTTTCACTCTTAAAAACTAGCTCCATTGCTGAATAAATGCACCACAAAACCAGAAAAATGCACAAAACCCCTTAAAATCTATTAGTGAGAAGGCATAGACTCTTCTATTGAGAAAACAAAGTAAAATAAACTTTGAGTGCTAACAATGAACATCGACCATCACTAAGAATACTCAAAACAGAAGAAAATGAATACCCTTTTTCAATATAAACAAAGTAATTCTCTAATCTACTCAGTAAAATAGGAGAATGATAAAAGGAATGAAAGACCTGAATTTTCACGGATCAACAAAAAGAACTGATATATGACTAACAAAGGTACTAAATGAAATACTTACTTTGGCAAAGGCTTCAAAAATGTCAAAGGAAGATGGCAGCTGAGAAGCATCCTGTATTTCTTCTCTCATGAAATGCTGAAATGTCATTGCAAGTTGCCTGAGGCCCTCTTTCTTATCTTCAGTCAGTTTGTTAATGTCTTTTTTAAGGAAGAAATAAACAGCACAAGCACAAAGTGAACTTTTAATGGGCAATTTTCAGGTGTTCAATGATAGCTGTTAATTCCATTCTAATCTCAGATTCCATTCTGAGAGCAAATACATATCTTTAGTTGATGATTATAAATTGTGATACATACAATATCAATTCAATTCTATCACACTTTATCTATGAGATCAAATACCCATCAAAACAAAATATACAAACAGATCAAAAGCATTAAAACCAAAATAAGGTAAGAAGTGAGTTACCAGATATACTATATTATGCTATATGCATATTTTGACCACCATAAATTCTTATTAAATCAGTGAATTTAAATATAGTTTTCCATGAAAGAATTTACAGCTAGGCCACGACTAACAAATAAACAGTATCATCGCCAAAGCACAAAACAGAGTACAAACAAAAGAGTTCAGCTCAAGTTCAAATAGATGAAATCCATCATACAGAAAGTATATCAAGAAGAAAACATAGATCAACAAAAGAAATCTTAACTTCATGTTGTTTCTAGGATCAATAAACAAAACGTGGTGCTTCACAAACAAAGCTTCAGAGCAAAAGGTAACCCGTCACAAAGAAAGTTTCAAAGTCAAAATTTAACCCTTTAAAAACGCTCTCTGTCTCACTGTTTCTCTGTCTCTGTCTCTGTCTCTGTCTCTGTCTCTGTCTCTCTCTCTCTCTCTCTCTCCTCTCTCTCCCCCCCACTTTGGTTTTTGGGCCACACCCGATGGTGTTCAGGACTTACTCAAGATTCAGTGCTTAGGGATGTACTTGGCAGGGCTTGGGGACCATACATGACATCAGGGATCAAACCCAGGTTGGCCACACACAAGGCAAACTCCCTCCCCACTATCTCTCTGGTCCCTAAAATTTCACTTTCGTTTAGATCACAAAAGGATGCTAAAAGGCTAAGGGTTCACAGTTTAATTAATAACACTGGAGCAGCAGCATATATGACACTGCTACTAGGCAGGGCCAATGTTAACACTAAAACTCACAGGCAAGGGATGTTAATTACCTAGCAGTAAGATAATGAGACAAAATGACAACTTCTCTATTAAAAAACTCAAAAAGACTATCAGGTTGAACTGTAGCATAACTCTGTTTCTCATGTCAGCTCTACATATTTTCTTTAAATTACTTGTTCAATGCAGCAATTAGCTATGATTTCTTAAATAATTCACTTCCACTGGCACTTAGGATACTATATCATAAATCTGTACAATGTCATCTTTTTTGTCTCCAGATATATTAAACTGCATCATATTTTCTATATAAGCTCTGACTAGATGGAGGTTGAAATAATTTACCACCTCAATGAAGAGGAACTCTGTCAACGTGAAAGAATATAAGCCTTGCATGGAATTAATGCTCACTGAAATCGCATCAGTCAGCACAATCAACCAGGCCACAACCATGATGATTCAGGAGCACTGCTGTCAGAGAGCCAAAGTCTATACTTTCTTAGCCCCTTAATATTTAAAAGACTAGAGGGCCTAGAGAGATAGTACAGAGGGGAGGGTGCTTTTCTTGCAAGCAGCTGACCAGGGTTAAATCCTCCTTATCCCCTATGGTCCCCCATGCACTGCCTGGATTCATTTCTGAGCATCACTAGATGTGGTCCAAAAAACAAAAAAAAATGTGTAAACAACCAGAGAACATAAATATTTCCTAGAATATTGACACTACCCCCTACCTCCAATGCAGCCATTATATCACTTCGACATTAAAAAAAAAGGAGAGAGAGAGAGAGAGAAAGAGAGAGAGAGAGAGAGAGAGAGAGAGAGAGAGAGAGAGAGAGAGAATAGGGAATGGGATCGTGGAAGAAAGAATTATTTTGTGAATTAGACCAAGTTACTATTTCTACACTCCTCTCCTGGCCTGTCTTGCACAACTTTATGGCACTTTACAAATTCCATATGACAAAGCTACCCTGGAATTTATCAAACATACATAACAGCCATATATAAAAACATGAAAAGTTTTGTGACATTTGCATCACATAATAAAGTGACAGAAAATCGAAGTTAAAATAAAGCAATTCTCTCAGAATGGATTAGCTCCCTACAGAGATATCTTCAGACTCCAATCATTTACAATTTTAGAATTCCAGGAGTGCACAGCTACGACCATTCATGATATTCAAAATAAGCAATAGAAAATAATTTATCTCGCACCTGTCTGTGGCAGGCAGGCTTGAATGGTGGTGGGAAAATTCAAAATAATGTTGGTAGGAAGGTGTAATGGTGGTGGGATTGGTGTTGAAATATTGAATGTAATCAATTAATGTAAACAACCTTATGAAAATAAAATTTTTAAAAAATTAAATAAATAATAAAAATCGTTCTTGTACCTTAAAAAAAATAAAGCAATTCTCCAATTCACCCAATAAGATTTTTTTTTTTTTAGAACAAAAGCTATATTTTAAATCCTGAGCTACATTTTTTTCCCCTTTATTTTATTTTATTTTTTTTAAAGTTGTAGATTTACAATTTTTTGTGCTTTGGTTTCAATTATACAATGATCAGATACCCATCCCTCCACCAGTGCCCATTTTCCACCACCATGGATAATATCCCTCCCACCCCCATCCCCCCATCCCCCCGTCTCTGTGGCAGGGCAATCCCCTGTGTTCTCTCTCTCCTTTTGGGTGTTGTGGTCTGCAAAAGAGGCATTGAGTGGCAAACATGTTCAGTCCATAGTCTACTTTCGACATGCATCTCCCCTCCTGGGAGGATCCTCCAAACATCCTTTATTTGGTGCTCCCTTCTCTATCTGAATAGCCCTTTCCTCTAGGATACCCGGCTGGCCTCTAAGTTATGGAGTAATCCTCCTGGTGCTGATCTCAGCTATTCTTGGGTATTAATCTCATACTTTGTTACTTTATATCCCCCAGATGAATGCAATCTTTCTATGTATATCCCTCTCTTTCTGACTCATTTCGCTTAGCATGATACTTTCCATATTGTACCACTTGTATGTAAATTTCATGACTTCATCTTTTCTAACAGCTACATAGTACTCCATTGTGTAGATGTACCAAAGTTTCTTTAACCAGTCATCTGTTCTTGGGCATTCAGCCCTCTTTACAATAGCCAATAAGATTTTTTTATGCTGAAACATAATTACTTACTTGACTCTAGGTCATAAAATGAGTAAAGTGTCTCCGATTCAGAGGGTGTTTCTTCTATCTACAATGTAAAAGGGAAAAACAGCAAAAAAAAACTTATTGGGCTCCAATAAATAAATCAATTCCTTTAATGTCTGTAGATATTTAAATGAAAGTTCAGTAAGGAAGACAATTTTCTATGTATTTCCATTCACCACTTTTAGAATTTTGTTATTTAATTATAGGAATTATAAAATGAAATCTAAGTTGTGACTTGCCCTGACACTTTAATATCTAAATTAAAACCATATACAAGAAGCTTTAATATAGAATAAATTTGTGGCTATACAGAGATAGATAAATAAAAATAAAAATTTGTCACAACTGTACAACCTTGGAAAAGTTTCTTAACCTTGAGTCAAGACAAGTCAAATTCCTCTTCTGAAACCTGAGAGAAATAACAGTATCTGATTCATTGGGTTGTAAATCAATTAGCACAAGGCCTAGAAATAAAACATTCAACAGAAGGTAGTATTATCATTCCTCTGTATTAGTGTTGAACTTAGTCAAGTCCAAAGTAAAGATTAAACAATATTCTCAGTAATAGTATCATTTCATATCCTGAAGAAGTTCATTTCATCCTTATCAGAGATTTTCTGTCTTTCTAATATTAACAAATAAAAAATAAAGTTCAACCTATAACAGTGACTATAATTTTAATATCCAGTGAGAAATAAAATACATAATAATAAGGCTGCTCTGAGTTTATTAATGTTTTAAATAAATTTGTATTTCTAGTTCACCAGAGTAACAATACATATATGTGATAGATGTCGCATATTCAATACAAAAACAATATCCATTTGGTATCCCAAAGCCATTTTTCAAATCAAAGATATATGTGCTCCAGATCCACGCCAGGCTGAGACTAACCCAGGGCACCCCAGAATGGGGTGGGTGAGCCCTCTACGTGCCCAAACAAGAGTACCAGCAGCCGAAAACTCCACACTCCAATCATTAACAAGAGTATCTCGCCACACAGCAGAGTCTGGCAGAGCCATATTCATGACAGACTTGGGATGAGCCTCATCCAGAAATCAATCTGTTGAAAAAGTTGTGTATACAAGTTTTGAGACTGAAATCTCCAGGCTCTCACAGAGTCAGGGTTAGGTGACCTAACCCCATCCCCCTGTTCTTCCCAGAGCCTTACAGTCATGCTACCCATGAACTGCCAGAGGCACTCCACCACTGATATACCAGGAGTAGCACACCACTTTGGATAGGATGTAAAGTAGAAGGCAACCAATCTCGAGTAAGACAATATAACACACAAGGCTCAACCTGTAACAACAGGTTAGTAATCTCTTACACAAGGTCTTAATAGCTCCAGGATGAGATGCAAACATCTTCACACACTTTCTTCTAAGGAAATCTTTTTTGATTCTTTTTAGTGAATTATTCATAACAAGCAATACAAAATAAAATATTTAGGGCTTGCTATTGGGGCAGGCTTGGGTGGTGGTTGAAATAAATGAAAATAATGGTGGTGGGAAGGTGCAATGGTGGTGGATTTGGTGGTGGAATATTGGATGTAATAAATCATCATGAACAACTTAATGAAAATAAAATATTTTTAAATAAAGATATAATTCACATCCAACATTTGTATTGGTTTTAAATATATCATCCTGCTTTACATTCTTTTTTTTTTCTTTTTGGGTCATACCCAGCGTTGCACAGGGGTTACTCCTGGTTCTGCACTCAGGAATTACTCCTGGTGGTGCTCAAGCAACCATATGGGATGCTGGGAATTGAACCTGGGTCAGCCATGTGCAAGGCAAATACCCTACCCTCTATGCTATCACTGGAGTGCCAACCCCCACATTCTTAAAATTCTCTATAAAATGTCATGATCAAAAAGAGCTAATAAACAACAGGATAGAGCATATCTAGAGTTGACAAAAACTTGAGAGACATTCATGAGAAAGCCTGGTCAAAACACAAAAATCTGTAAAGTATAACCAGAGAGATTTTAAAGAATAAATTATTTTGGTAGAAGCAAAAAAGGACTGAAGAAACAATTTCAATGACTCCTATTACATATATATGTATATATATATGGGCTGGAGCAATAGCACAGCAGGTAGGGCATTTGCCTTGCATGTGGCTGACCCAAGTTCAATTCCTCCATCCCTCTCCAAGAGCCCAGCAAGCTATCAAGGGTATCCCACCCACACGGCCGAGCCTGACAAGCTCCCTGTGGAGTATTCAATATGCCAAAAAAGAGTAACAAGTCTCACTTTATGTTCCTGGAGCAAGCAGGTGCCATTGGGCTATTCTAGCACGCGACAAGGAAGAACGAAGATGTTACTGGTGTCCGCTCAAGCAAATCGATGAACAATGGGATGACAATGCTACAGTGCTATGTGTGTGTATGTATGTGTGTGTGTATATATATATATATGTAACTATATACATATATATTATAGGAGTTTTATTTATATTTATGGATAAGCATTCTTTCATGTAAGATTATCACCGAATCAAAACCTTACCTGAGAATGCCTTCAAGAACAAGTATTCCTGCCCTGTACATAAGTTCACAATAGAAAAGTGATCAGGCAATGTAATCACCATAACTAATATCACATGCCCCAACTATGGGTCCTTATATCTTAGTTCCCAAGTACTTACAAGACCTTTCTTCAAAGAGGGGCTATGAACTTTATCACTGCACTGATGCTGTACTTCAGAGTAAAAAAAGTTTTGTCTTAAAATACTCTCTGGAGTATAGTCCATCTTCTACCTTAGTTCAGGTCTAAATTCATCCTTAAATATGAATAATACATGCAACTGCAAGTTCTTTTGTTAAATTACAACTCAAACATATTTCACAAGTTTTATACTCACAAGTCTGAAAACAACTCTGCCAAGAAGTCGGACAGAGTCTGGAGGATATCTAGGTTTGCAGCTTTTAAGGCATTTGCATTCCCGCTTATGGTCCTGCCAAGCTTTTTTCTGTGAAGACAAAAAAGGGGAAGGCATAAGATATAAAAATATAACTTTCATCTACACTGATTTTGGATGCTGAAAATCATTAGCATTTGGTTAATTAAGTAGCATGCATCCAACAGCAAACTAGAAAGAGAAAGCAAAATTCTAATACTTTCAATGGTAATTGCAATCTTTGCCAACTTTGCAATTACCAGGCACAAATATTAAGAACCACTGTTTTACCTCTGTCCTTTAATTTGCCCCCTGGTGATTAACTGGCTACTGGAGTCCAAAGAAAGACTTATTATGGCATACTTAATAATTCATAAGATAGATCTTTACCTGACTACATAGAATTCAATAATAGACTGTGATTTTGAATACAGAAAGAAACTATCACTCAAAATTAGATAATAAAACACATGGCTCAGGAACATCAAACTCGACCATATAACCTTCTTAATAACAGTGCCATTATAATAGGTATAGAACTCTCAGGAGAGTGAACATATTGGGGGAAAAATACAAATTCTTTTTGTTTTTGAAGATACCCAATAGAAAGGAGCTTTTAGCTAAAATAACTAGTTTTACTAGCTTTACCAAGTAGTAAAATAAAATAAAATAGTTTTCAGCTAAAATGACCAACTATCTAGTTTGTCCAGAACTGCCTTGGTTTACTTGTTTTCCTAATGAAGAATGTCCCTTGTTGCTCTGAAAAATATCTGATTAAGATAAATGATCCATTAACTCAACAGCGATTTTAGCCACAATCTGCTTTGGTTCAAAAGACAGAGAATCAGCCATCCCAACATTAGGGGTAAAAGAACAATAGGAAAGGAAATTGAGGTCTGAGAGATAGTAAAGATGAGTAGCCTCTGGCTTGCATGCTAGTGACCAGGTTTGATCTACTGCACTGGATACAGTTCCCTAGAACCCACCAGGAGTGATTCTTGCAAGAAGTAATCCCTAGGCACAGAGCAGGAGTAAGCCCTGAATACAACCAGGTCTAGCCCCAAGACAATAAACAAATAAATGGAAAAGGCATCATATCTTGAGTCTTGAGTTAGAAATATAACAATCCCCTTTACATGCGATTGCTTCTATGTGAAATAAAACTGCTCAGCATAATGTCAAAACTCATAAAACCTGCTTCACACCTTATGGCTTTTTAAAAATCCTTGCAAGAGAGCCCCTCTCGATAGACATAGAAAGATCGCATTCATCTGGGGAATATAAAGAAACAAAATATGAGATTAATACCCAAGAATAGCTGACATCAACACCAGGAGGATTACTCCATAGCTTAGAGGCCAGCCGGGCATTATAGGGGAAAGGGCAGCTCAGATAGAGAAGGGAGCACCAAACAAAGGGTGTTTGGAGGATCCTCCCAGGAGGGGAGATGCATATTGAAAGTAGACTATGGACTGAACATGTTTGCCACTCAAAGCCTCTTTTGCAGACCACAACACCCAAAAGGAGAGAGAGAACACAGGGGATTGCCCTGCCACAGAGGCAGGGTGAGATGGGAGGGATGGGGGTGGGAGGGATATTATCCATGGTGGTGGAAAACGGGCACTGGTGGAGGGATGGGTATTTGATCATTGTATAATCGAAACCCAAGCACAAAAAATTGTAAATCTACAACTGTACCTCATGGTGTGTCACTAAAAATAATAATAAAAAAATCATGCATTAAAAAAAAAGAGAGCCCCTCTCTTTTCCACTGACAGCATAAAAATAGAGCATAACCGAACATTTCCAAAGAACGGCAGCTGCTCTGTCTCGTGACTCAGGTACAAGTTAAAGACAGCATTTTGTTCTACAAGACTGTCCAGGTTAAGTTGGCACCTGAAGACTAGGTCTCTTTGAAACTTTTTCCTAGAAACCCAGTTTTTGGCAGACAATGTTTATCAGGGGTAGTTACTTCTAATTATTCCTTTGCATCCACTGTAGCAACTGTCTTCATGTAATACTTATCATGTTCTTCGTACTTATACTTCACTTACCTTCTAATCACAACTGAATTATTTCAAAGAAAAGATGTATGTGGAATGAGGTTGTAAAATCAGAAACAGAAAAATGTCATAATGAGGGGAAAATTCCTCTAGCATTTGTACAGTCCTGTAGCATGTATCAGGCACATGAGTAACCAAGTCACAGAATATTTTTCATTTGACTTTCACAATAATGGGAATGGTTGATATCATTTTACATTAAAGATGAACAAAGTAAGACTCAAGAGCTGGGCTCAAACTACCAAAAAAAAAAAACTAAACACAAAAGGGAACAGTAAAAATTCTTAGTTTGCTAAACATGAGAACTAAGCAATTACCATGTATTATATTTATTTGAGTTGCCTTACAGGCAAGGCAAGAAAGATAGCATAATGGTTTATATAATTCTCATTTGACAGAAAAGAAAAACACATAGCTTTACCAAGTAGTAAATCACATAAGGAATTCATTACAAGAATGCTAATCAACATACTGGACCTTCCACAATAGTTTACAAGCATAATGGCATTTTATACAGCCATTTTTAATGTCAATGCTCACTTAGAGCTACATTACCAAAATATAACTGTGAAAGAAAATGCTTCTATTGTTCGGAAGATGAGTCTCAAACTAGCAAGGAACAATTATTGACAAATGTGTAAGATGCCTAGAAATTATACATAGCTCCATGCTGGGCCCAAGCACCACTGGCTTTCATCCTTCCCCCCACACACATAGAATACGTATGACTCCACTGCCATATGTTTGATGTGTAAAGACTGCTTAGAAATCCAAACGATGTTTAGTTCACTAGAAGTTCTAAAAAGCTCTCATCTTGGAAACTTGTATAAATTATTTAAAACAAAAAATCCTCTAATTGTTATTGTCATTCTTTGGGGAATTCGGTTGCTACACATTGACTCGGATATTCCTATACATTTTCTTTCCTTCGTCTGTTCTGTGAATGAAGGTGGGCTAAGAATACAAATTCACAGTCACTTGTATATAAATTACATAAATTAGAGTGCTAATGTTCTTGATGACTGACTAATGAGAAAACCATAATTTTGGTGGAAGATTTTTCATTTGGCATTAAATGTTGAGAAGTCTGACAGATGCCCTCAGTGTGGGGGAAGAATATGCCACACCGTGTCAATGTGCTTCTGAGAACGCACCTTTTGGCTCTATTCAGATCCTTAGTAAGAACCCAGATGCAAAACAGATTGCACCCAGTCAAATAAAAACAAAAATCCCTTCCTTCCTTCCTTCCTTCCTTCCTTCCTTCCTTCCTTCCTTCCTCCCTCCCTCCCTCCCTTCCTCCGTCCCTCCCTCCTTCTTTCCTTGTTTTGTTTGGGGACTGCACCCAAAGGAACTTACTCCTGGCTCTGCACTCAGGGATAGCTACTGCTGGTATTCCAGGAAACATATGTGGTACCAAGGGATTGAATCAGGGTTAGCTATGTGCAGGGCAAATGCCTTATCTGCTCTACTTTTCTTGACTCTGGCCGTTGGTATTAAAAATCTTAAGAGAAAATTTCAATCAATGCTTCACCACAGGAGATGATTCATAATTCCTTTGTCAAAATTACTTGCAATTTTCAGCAGCTCAGTCCCCTGGAAGCTCACCAGAGTGAAGCAAGAATAAAATGTGGCCCAAGGGAAAGAACTAATTGATCAGTTCAATGACAATATTCAGAACTAAACATCCAAATTTTGGAGAATTCCTACTAAAACTACTTTAGTGCTTAAAATAATTAATATTGAGCTCTTATTTCTCAATAATAACTAGGAACTAGACAAATGTTTCTCGAGGCTATTCCTAGATCAAGATACAAGAAAAGATTAAACAACATATCATATTTTCCCTTTCACTTCTGTAAAAAAAAGATGTTCATTCTTTCCATTTAAAAACCAAATCAGGGTCCAGAGATGGTTCAATGAACTGAGCACATGATTTATATGTAGAGGCCTGGGTTTGAACCTCTGCACCACATGGTCCCCTAAATACCACTGGAAGCAATACCCAAGCACTTCTAGATATGGTCCAAAAGTCAAAAAAAAAATTTAATTGAAAAATTAATAGATGCCAAATAATTTTATTTAGTAATAAATATAGAAAACTATCATATCAGTGAACTGTTCTGTAACATCGCACCAATGTTACAACAGTCTATCTTACCATGCTATCAAAAGCCATGTCTTTAAAATGTGAAATATTAAGATTTATTACTCAGCTTCACTCTCCACATTTTACCATATAGCTTGCTGAAGTAAGCTTACCAGATAATGAGCTCTTAAACAACTACACTGGATCTGAAGTAAAACCTCACAATCACACAATGATACTAGGTATTATCTTCACTCTACAACTTTAACCTTGGTATAGACCTCAAGGGCACATGGTCAATCTGTCAGTTTCTCAAAGACAACCTTCTTGATTTACTTTTGCCTATTTTCTTCTACTACTACAAATAAAGGATATAATTAAGATTTTGTTCATAATACCAGCTGCAATGTTTTCTGTTCTCACAGTAGAAAATCAACAACAATGTACAATAACCACAAATTACCATGGGAGCCAAAGGAAATTAAAACATTACATTAAGAAAAAAAGATAACGGGAGGAAAGACTTTTAGAAAGGAAAAACCAGAGAAAAAGAAGATGAATATGACTCTATGTGTTAGGACATGCATGACTCAAAACCAACTTGAGTCTATATATTTCCATAAGCTGCATGAAATATAAACCAATAGAAACAGTCATTCTCAGTGGGGTTAATCCAAATCCTGAGGATTATTCAGCAATATTTTATTTGTGACAATGCCTGCGGGACATTACTGGCATGTAGTTCTCAAGAAAAAGATATCAAATATCCTATTTCCCATACAATAAAAATTGTTCCAAATTCAATACAACTATCAAATATCCTATTAGTTTATGAAGGTGACAAGTTTATTTATAGTTACCTAAATATAAAATTAAACTTCCTTTTTTTGACAGTAGGGAGCATCCCAAATAGTACTAAGGGG